AGGGCGGGGCGGGGCAAAGAAGTGTGGTGTGTAGCCATTGCCTGACTGGAGTCTTTATGCTGCCAGACGATGGAGTTTTACTGCGAGGCCTGTGAGACGGCCATGTGCGGCGAGTGCCGCGCCGGGGAGCACCGCGAGCACGGCACGGTGCTGCTGCGCGACGTGGTGGAGCAGCACAAGGCCGCTCTGCAGCGCCAGCTCGAGGCAGTGCGCGGCCGGTAGGCGCCTGGGGGGAACCTGGACTGGCGGGGCCATCGGGGAGAGCGTCCCAGCCGGGCCCGGGGGGCCTTGGGGAGGGTACAGATAAAATTCTGAGAGAGGGCAGCAGTGGGGAGAAAGAATGGTTTGGTAAGGGCGCCTCAAGCCGCCCCGGTATGAGATGTTTCCCCTCCCCAGCCTGCCACAGCTGTCCGCAGCTATCGCCTTAGTTGGGGGCATCAGCCAGCAGCTGCAGGAGCGCAAGGCGGAGGCCCTGGCCCAGATCAGCGCAGCCTTCGAGGACCTGGAGCAAGCGCTGCAGCAGCGCAAGCAGGCGCTGGTCAGCGACCTGGAGGCCATTTGTGGGGCGAAGCAGAAGGTGCGTGTGTTCTCCCTTCCCCACCACCGTCCGCCAGGAGACGGCCTTATGGCCTCCGCGCGTCCCCGCTTTCCACACTTGGCACCCCTTTCCCTAGTCTATCCTGACGTGGCCCCAGGGTGCTGAGGGCATCTGGGTCGTGTCTACACTCTCTTGTATTTCTTTCATGCCATAGTACTGCAAGTTCATCGGGCATCACAGAGACCCCCGCCCCCCGTGCCAGTCTTCTTATTCAACCCACCTGTGACCCCTCCTCAGGTGCTGCAGACCCAGCTGGACACACTGCGCCAGGGTCAGGAACACATTGGCAGCAGCTGCAGCTTCGCGGAGCAGGCCCTGCGCCTGGGCTCGGCGCCGGAGGTGTTGCTGGTGCGGAAGCACATGCGCGAGCGGCTGGCGGCGCTGGCGGCGCAGGCCTTCCCCGAGCGGCCGCACGAGAACGCGCAGCTGGAACTGGTCCTCGAGGTCGACGGGCTGCGGCGATCGGTGCTCAACCTGGGCGCGCTGCTCACGACGAGCGCCACCGCACACGAGACGGTGGCCA